AAAATGTGTTTTTCTTTTTCAGTACGTGCATTCTGACTCACTTTGATGACTTTTCCAGCTCCAATTTTCAGTCGGAGCAGCTTGTCTTTGTTCTGGTTGGAGTCAAACATCTAAAATGATATTTGAAAAATGGTTAAATGAGCTTCACGTCAAGAAAATTCAAAGGAAATGGAGACAAAATAATTGCAATTGATTCTACAAAGGTGAAGCTGTTTGACCTGTCCAATGGTATGGTTCTGCAGGAGCCAGCCTGTGTACACCACCTCCAGAGAGTCTCCATTCTCCACCCCCTGGCCCTCCCCAAGACTCAGATCCTGAACCACCACAGCATCTAAAGTGGCTGCACTGTTCGCTTTTGCTAAGCATACCTGATGAACAAAAAGGAAAAGGAGTTCATCACAATTGGTGAGACGTTGAATCCTGAGTATATTGGACTGATGAAGGGGTTTTAAGGATCAATCCTGAAACTTGTGGACCTTGTTCTATCGACACATACAGCTTTGCTTAGTTACTCACTCTGTTAGTCAAATAAAAACAGCTGCAGCACTGCCCCTGTGTCACTCACCTCTTTGCAGAAGTCTGATGAAGCTTTCTCTGATTCAAACATCAGGGACCAGTTCTGCCTCTGGTCATCATAAAAAGTGCAATAATTGTTTGGTTGTACCTGCAGAAGCAAAAGAACGTTATTCTCTGGAGGAGAAATCTGTTGTGCCATTACCTTTCATTTTTTGTTTCTGTTGCTGTGTTCACCACCAAATAATCACAGGACCACAAGGACAGCCTAATACTGAGGCTACAGTGTGATATGATCACATCAGTTTTTATTAGGGCAGTCACCTACAGAAGAAACAGAAGAAAACAGAAGAAACCCTGGACTGGTGTAGATGTAAGCTGCTCCACAAACGTCTTTTTTCCATTTCATGGAGTCAGGATATCCACCCTGATGTAATACTGACTTTTCCCAATGGAAACTAAAATGTAATAAGGTTCATGGATCTATGGCAGCCTCAGATAGCCCACTCCCTTAAACTTGAACATATGTGTAATAGAGGGATGGGTTTAAATGTGTATGATAGGACATAAAGAATCCCTGTCCCCAAACCTATTTGATTTTGAGTGTTGCCCTCTATACTGGAGCTGAGCCTCAAAAAGTAAAATTAATTTATAGACCACTTAATATTTTGTCACAGAGACAGCTCAGTTGTCATTATCTGATTAAAATATGGAGTTTTATCTGCATTGTCTCCTGCTGATGAAGACACAGTTGTTCCTGTATAAGTCAGGGAGCGTTATATTATATCCCGCTCATTTGCCTCTTGCTTTTTTAGGATTTCATTTTAATTCACAGAGTGGAACACACTCTCAGCTGCAGGAGCCACAGATCCTTTAAGATTCCATTGACTGAT